CAGCTTATCGGTTCTGTGCTGATATTGGCCGACCGGCTCAACACGTAGTACGTGTGAGTGCTGATAAGCTATGGCATATAAGCCATTAAGAAGGCGAGGGCAAGCGGGGTCTCGGTAGTGTAAGGGATAAGAGCACGGTCCCCGGAAAGGACAAGTACGGGTTCGAGTCCCGTCCGAGACTGGAGTTTTGCCCACAAATCGCCAACCTTGTGAGACTGTCTACAAGAAGCTCATCGTCAACAACTGGCGGCCCCTACAGCATAAGAGATGCCCGATACTAATGTTTATTATACTAGATTTACATATTATTACTCATTGTAGCTCACTGAAACCGTGCTGAAGGGTGTTTCACATGACCACAAATTCCTCCCTTCTTGTGAACCGTTTGGCACGGAGGCCGGTCTATTCGCCGAACTGCGGTTGCAAGGGTAGCCAGCTAGTTGTCGACAATCGTGCAGAGACCCTCCATCATTGTATTATACCATTGCTTCGAAAATTGTTTAGAGCGGCCAGGTGAGATGAGGACACCAATGTTGGCGTTTGGCTACTGTACCCAGGGCCTGTTTTTCCTAGTGGGTGTCGCTGTGCACGAATAGTGACCAGACAATACCAATAAAAAAGTGCAGTTCTTTGTACATCGCCTACGTCTTTACAGCGAATTTTTGGACTCTCCACCCTAAATGGTGGCGGTACTTTATCGTTCTCCTACTCTCGAAGAAAATCTGGTGAGCGCCACTGACCGTTTTCAGCTAGAGTTACTTTGGTGAGGGTGTTCTGTTCTAGCAGTTTGTCCAGAATATCTTCTCGAAAGTTCTGTCTCTGTCACTCCCGACTTTTCAAGCAACTCAAACAATCTACTGCTCCCTACCACGATCAATGGACGAATCTTGGCGAAGGGTTGAACACATTGATTCCGATGAGGTTGGCACATCTGGGCAGCGCTGAGACCGGCGAATAACCGATTCGGTAATTCCTGGAACAAAAGATTAGCATAGACCTCTTGAAGAAAGCTATTTCCAAAAAAAAATCTCAAAATATAACAAATCAATATGCATCAAACGCAACGGTAATCACAACTTACATCCGAGTTCATCCGCTGGATCTCTTCAATATTCTCAAGCAGGCTTGAGATATTCTTGATTAATTTTTCCTGCATCCGATAGCTTTTAGCAGCCTTAGCTATCTTCAGCTCGGACAGTGGCTAAATTGCCAACAGTTAGGAATAATATGAGTACTGTTTCAATTAATAAGCCAAGGTCTTGCAGTACAGTACATGACAATCGAGTGCGCGCACGCAACGCGGTCAGCTAACTGGGTAGACGGGCGTTAGGAACGATTTTGGGCAATCGATTCGCCCACGCGGCTGCCGCGGACCACTCGTTCATCGTTATTGCAGCTCTAGCGCTCTTCATCCAGCTCAATCGATATGCGGTCATTATTTTATGCATAATTCTACTACTAGTACTTTTGCTCTTGTATTTTTTACCTACTGCTGCATCCTGCTACATTCCTTCGCGCGCGACGCCCCTCTCACCGCGACGCGACCATTTCGTTCCTACTGCACCACACCCAGCTGACTGTCGATGGCTTGTCGTAGCATTCAACAGAACTCGGTACTAATTCCGAATTTGTTTTCTTCCTACACAGTCTTCTTCTCCCTTCTAAAAGTTCCTTATCTGTCCTATTCATTAGAGTTACTTTGTCAAGGGCAAAGATAGGGTGTTACAGCTATGCCCTTTAGGTAAAATTAAAGTTTAAGTAAAATTCCGGCAAAACTTTCTACTGGCCTGGTGGTAGTACAGTGCCAAGTGGGCGATACCACACGCAGGATCTGTGGGTTGTATCCCAAAAGCAATAATCGGATATAGCAATCGAATCTTCCCCTCTTGCAATCCTTGAAACTAAACGTGGACACGCGCCGTGCTCCTAAACTCCCGTTCAGATCAATGGCAAAACTTCCATCTCCCTTTCACTGTTTCTAGAGGACCACACTATGGAAACAAACTAACCTACCCCTTGCCCAGTTATGGCCATTTTTAGAGCCGAGTTGAATTGTATAAAAAACGGAACTTGAGGAAATTTCTTCGATGACAACCCACCTCAAAATGGATTGGTTCCGTGACATCATGATCCTCCTGCTCCTCCATGACATCGTTCTCCTGCTCTTGTACAACAGCACCAAAATTGTTGATGGCCAGAATTAGGATGATAAAAACGACAATTGCCAAAATAGCTACTCGCAGGTTCCTTCTTTGGAGAAACCTGCAAGGTCTGCATCATCAGAAGAGCAGCCATCAAAAAGAATGGTCAGCGTAAAATTCTAAGGATCACTTCTATAGTGTTGCTCACCACTCGAAAGTCCATCCCCGGTGATCTTCTCCCAGGAACTGTTCCCGTTCAACCTCGTCGCTGCTTGTCGACAGGGATATGTACCTTCATAATACTTCAATAGTATCGAACATGTGAAGAACTATGAATACGCAATTCGATTTCGAAAATGAGTCGAAAAAAATTCGGACATACCTCATTGTGGAGAAAGGTGAGCTGAAACTAGGTAGGTTATCGTAGGGATCGATTTGTACCCGATCGCCTGGTTAAGATTCTTCGAAGATAACGAGAATCCGGGTGGTCAAGAGTCGGGAACTGTATAGAGACATCAGCTGTTCTTCCTTGTCTCAAAGGGTTCTAATGATACTTTACCGACTTCAAATCGGTGAACTGACAGACTAACTGACTGCTCTCAATCGGGGACCCAAGTAGTACTCTTACCCAACACCACTTTTGGGAACAAGACGAGATTAGAAATCTACTAGTTCAAAGGCGCACTTCAGCCTCGATCACTACCCTACCAGAAATGAGGCTATTATTGTAAAAGTGATTGTGATTGAGTGGACAGGAATCAACTAAAGGTCCTTGAGGAACTGCAATGTGAATACTCGACCATCGCTCTCACAAGGTAAACGGTCAATACACAATCAAATGTTCATGAAGACAGCTTCTGTACCTGGCCTACTATCAGAGAAAGGCCTGAAGAAAAAGTTAGAGTACAACAGCTCCGACTAATGTTGTCCTACTCACCACAGATTCATCGAAATTTGAGTGTTATCAAGGTGAGCGGAACTTTTCGAAAAGGTCATTCCACCTCGCTGTAGAGGCTACATTCGTGACGATCACACTTGATAGAAAGGAACTAAAGGCTCACTCTACACTCGAATATCCATTATTGCTTAGCTAAATCCCTTATTGCCTAACTAACCCAATTCCTTTTCGTTTTTTCTGAGAGAATCGAAAACGATCTCGTGGTCACTACGACGACAAGTCCGTTCAGAACTTTCACTATGCACTACTTATTTACAGTGGCGAATGTTGGTCTGTTGGTAGATGTCCTTTATCCCAGTCAGTATTGCTCGTAGACTGATCTAACGCTACAGTGACTTAGTCCGAAGTGACCCAGGTGGTATTTTTGTATTGACCGGGTCTTGGATAGATGGAATTAAGCACCTTCGCACCCATTCAGCCGTTTACACTGCTCCCCTTTTATCCATTTCTTCTAACTCAGGGCTACCCATGTGATGAACTTTTCCCGACTCATCCGATACACTTATTGTCAGTAGCATAGGCCCCATTCACCACCGGACCTGTCCGGCGAGTAGATTTTCATGAATCAGCCGTCTCAAACTAATCCGGTTTTTTATGCTATTCTTTCAGGAGCTACCGAACTTCCCTTCATATCCTGTGTAGATGAAGACATGCCACACATGCTCTTCTCATTAAATATTATATCACCCTGATATTCATGCACGGAAAATTTGAAAGTTTTATAAAGCCCATACAATTCTTTCATTTCCGCAAAACAGAAATTCAAAGTGATCAACACGTTGACTAAGATGAAAGTAAAAAAGATTGCTATTGGGTCGAAGCACCTTTGGAAATGTTTTATCGATCCAGATCTGGCAGAGGGTAGTTAAGAAGTTTGTAATCGTAATAAAATAGCCGAACAATCAATTCCATGAGATATGGGCTGTGACGGATTCGATCTTCAAAAAACACTCGTGCTGCTGACTTCACAGTACTGTGGGCAGTGCGTCCAGAACGGAGTGATTCCGAAATGTAATTGATCGATGACTCCGATACCTTCAAGACAGAAAATTGATAGAAGGCAGATTTGAGTGACCTCCTCATTGACATAGGTAGGATATCAGTATAAAGACATAACTTCTGAGGGATGGCTAGCACTGTCAATAGCTCGTACTACCTGACAATGGGAAGATCGAGAGGGAGATGGGTGCAGTTGCGTATGGTGCACTATCCCACCCACATGGTCCGAGTTGAGCGAGTGTCGAGCCGAGGTCCAGAACCCCGGATCCACAGTCGCCCAGACCAGCCAAGTCTTCCATCTTTCCAGGGTAAGTTAGTTGGTACCAGAACCATCTAGGAAGGAAAAAAACTGAATTGCCAATTGGTTGGTCATTGTATAGAGCACGTAAGCATTCAAACCGTCACTACGATTCTGTAGTATTTAGAATGCGGGGCGCACTCCAAAGCGGGATTGTTCAATACCATTAGCCTTTATCCTTACTTATCGTGCATAGTTCTTGTTTAGTACATGTTTTGTGGTAGGTAAACCCACATTTTGAGATCTCAGCATCGGTGTCAGATCCTCTAACAAAGTCTTGGTAGGATCACTTGAATATCGTATAAATTGATATCTGTTATAGAATTCACGCATATCACATCGCCTAAATCACAATAATACTTAAAAGTATGATACGTGCAAGCCTGATTCCGAGTAATTTTTTGCATTTTTTGTGGAGTTGAAGGTATTTCACCCCACCAGTTTTGTGGAAATACATGTATATCTTCCAAGGTCATGTTTGGAGTAGTGAGCCCATTTTTGTCGGCATATGCGTACTCTGCAGCTCTGAAAGGAGACTATGAAATTTGTCCAGAAGTATAAACATGGGTAATGCCTACCTTCTATATTCCTCCTCAAGGAAACATGTTATGTTACTGCCACAACCAAAGCACGGATCTCCAACTCTGAACAAATATTCTTTTAGGTTCATCTGATAAGGCCATATTTCATAGTTTCCCACACTGAAGCGTTGCTTGACACTGCTTGAGGCTTTCATCTCAACGAAGTGCCTACAAGAACGAAAATTCCGGGGAAGAGCTGGGGAGCATGGTTTTTACAGCAACCTGGCTGAAGGTCCAGGCTCAAACGCCTTCTTCTCGTGCAACCAGCCAGAAGACACCTTCGGCTTTCCATGGTGCCCTTGCCGAAAGTCTTATCTTGAGAACCTCTACGCGTATCAGGACGTGTGTTTGTGAATAGCAGTATGACGTAAAATGAAATGTGTTGTCTGTGAAGCTTTGCGCCCGTGGCATTCATCCCTCCAAAAAGCGTTGTAACCTCACCGCCTACTCTAGCACCTCAACATCCTTTCAGAAGCTTTTCAACTGCGAAGCCAGATTATACCAAGAGAAGTGTCTTTCGGTACTTTCTCAATAATTACCACTTTTAAGTATACCGTATGCATCTGTCAATGAAACCGGACAGAAATCGATCGACGGGCTCTCGAGTAACCATACTGAAGTGGTATTTATCCAATTGGTGGTCAGTCAAACGCAGTCCTTTTTGCATATCCTTGACGCTTCTGAATTCGTTTTTTCCTTCGCAAAATCTGAAAACGAATCGAAAAGATTTTTCTTTGAGATATTGTATTAACAAAGGGAAGAATAAACAAATGACCATGTTCTACTTGTGGGCCACCTGTCCAATATACATAGCAGTAGGAACCCCTCTAAGCTACCCTATCGCACCTGAGATTCGCCTGAATTTCGAGAATCTTCACTCATGCTCCCTCCCTAAATTTGCTGCTGTACGGTGGACTGATAAAGAATATGACACGATTTGTCTGACCTATTCCCATGTAAGTCTAGGTAGGGCAGAAAGTCTCATGGTTGCCGACGCTAGCAATGCCCCAGATACTCATCCTGAGCTGGGACCTAATTTTGCTCGCGATGACCGAGATGCAGCCTCCTGATCTGTAACTCATTGACTATGACAATGCATGATAGGTTTGCTCTTCCTGTGGATATGCTTCAAGGTGGAAGCTTGTCAGAGGAAATGCTGGTCGAGTTCATTATCATTTAGTAAGCGAATGCTGCTCCGAGACGGTTCCTTTTTTAGAAGAAAAAGCCCTTATAACCTAAAAGTAGACATGACCCACCTTATGTCAGGATATTCCATCAGGATGCTACGACCCGCTTCCATAAACTCTTTTTCACGAACGAGAAAACAGAATATTGCTGACATCACTGTTGACATGCTTTTATTAATAAGGCATGACATCAGGTGGTGATTTGGCGATGTCTGGAATCTGTTGATTTTGACGAATACTTCAGTATAATTTTGATAACAGCAGAGGTGGTGAATGTCGATTGGCACATTATCAAGAACGTACCACAATCAAGGGACGTATCTTTGCGAACGGATGAACACATTGAGCTTTTCCTGACTCGCACATCTGGGAAGGGTCAACTCCAGCATATAAACGACCAGGTAACGGCTGGAATACAATGTTTATGAAAAAATTTGGAAAATATGCATAGCAGAAGAGACATCTTGTGTTAAAGGAAAAATGCTGTGCATTCGTTTGCACTAAGAAGAAGGTTTTAGAGGTATCAATACTACAATGTCTCAGTTGAAATGCATTACTCCTCAAAGCAGCGCCCCTCCTCCAAGTGGACGTGTTAACGCAGCGATTCAAATTTGCTATTGATCGCGATCGGAGCGGATTTACGACTACGAGAAACTAAGGAACTGCGAGATTATGCGATATTAGCTAGCACGAACATGCTCTTGCATTTCTTCAACTTTCCCTCAACCCTCTCAGCAGAAATGGAGAGAGTTAAAAGTTGAATGGAATTTAGCATTATTTCGAATTCCTCGTACTCCAACTTCATTTTAGCGGAATTGTGGATTATCGTGCCCACTACTTTCACAAAATCTCAAGAGTATAGCATTCGTTGAACCTACGTCTGAGTTTTCCAATTTGATTTGTTCAATATTGTCGAGTTCGCTCACTCCAAATTCGATCGTCTGCTCTTGGGCAAGATAGCTTTCAGCTACTTTTGCACGTCTTTGTTCGGTCAGCGGCTGAATATTCAATTGTATTGCTAAAATTATACATTCACATGTAATTAGGAAATTGACTTGATTTACATTCAAGCCATTATTTGGTTTAAGAAGAATCGAAAGTCTGAATCCCCTAGATATAGATTTTTGAAGTTCAAAGAAATTAACTCCATATTTAGGCGAGGGATTTTTGATGAATACTTGCATTGAAAGAGAATAATTCTTCCGCAGTGTATTCATGCTCGTTTCCGTCGTGTTTCTCCAGAATGCCAACCATCTGCTCTTGCTCAGTGGCGAAGAAATTGGTTATAGTCAAAATCATCGTGATAAGAACGATGAATAACAGGAGAGCCAGCCATATTCTCCTTCGCTGAAGCAGCCTAAAAGGTTTCGTTAAGTCCGCAATAGCATAAGCATCGGGGTAAATTCAGATCCGAAGGGTCACCTGTCAAGGATCCGTTCCTCGGGATCGTCATCCAGAAAGTGTTCTCGTTCGACCTGGTCGCATCCCGTCGACAGAGACACATACCTACTACTTGTTTGATCGTACTGTAGGATGAGAGAATGCAAATAAGGAAAGTTGTCTGGAATGAATTGAAGTATCTGGACCTACCTCATTGTTGAAGAGAAAGTGTCGAAACTGCGTAGGCTATCGACGAGATCGATTTTACCGAATCGTCTACCGGCGATAATTAGTAGATAGCAGAAAGTGAGAATACAAGCTTGTTCGGAGATGATCTCTACGATGTTCAGACATGTTCATGAGAGACTTCTCACTTCTGAAATAGCTTATTCAGGAGTGGATGCTGTCAGCAATACTGTTCCGAGCTCTGGTCAAGGATTAGCTGGTGTATTCTCCGACAATCGAAAGCTGTTCGTCAGTCCCATAACTAGCTGGTGAAGATACTGAAGGATCATGATCCACAACTCACTGGCCCGTTCAAAATGAAAACGATAGATAGAAAACGATCATAGAGAGAACTGTTACGTTTTCTGAAGACACATTCACTGAAGGGTCGCAGCATACCTACCGACAATGGGTCAAAGTTCTGCTCTCAAAGGGACAGAAACAAGGCAGAAACTGGGTAGAGTAGGCCTAGAAAAGGGTTTTCAGTGGCTTATTCTACATTTCAAGAGTCAATTGCAGCCAAGAATCCCCACGGATGAACACGCCAAACACCTTTCTGTTGCAACAGGATGGACATTTTGGGCACAGAAATACTGTTCTCACTCCTTTTATACAGTTCGTAATAAGCTGAAAATGATTTACCACAAGAAATTTCGGGTTATTTCAAGGCTTCCTGCCTCTTTCGATTTCTTCGTCTTTCATTTCTCAGCTAGATAGCAAAACATAGCTCCCAGATGCCTCTCAACACATAGTTTGGCCTGTGAGTGGTTCCACAAACTTTTTTTTGTATCATAATGGCAAGATCTTGTCCAGACATACCAATACGTTCAAGTCATCTCAAGTCATCTTCTCAAGCAGATTAGTAAAAAAAAGCTTCATTGAGCTGCTCCTCTACGGGCGTGGTGCGTTAGGAACGAAATGGTCGCGTCGCGGTGAGAGGGGCGTCGCGCGCGAA